CATCGAATTATCTTCTACATGAAAGTGACGCCAATTTTTTTTTGTTGCGTCAAACGTTAATACGACGGTTTGAAAACCGATGCAATTTAATTTAAGTCTTTTTATAATTGACATTAAAATGAATTATAACTGACGTTAAAGGGCGTGATTCTTGTAGTGTTTTTCTTTTCACAAAATAAATATTTCATAGCTGTAAATTATTTTATTTTTGAAAAAAAAATGTTTCTGATGATTTGGTATTTTGATAAAAGAGTCCAAAATTTATAAAAGTAAAATCGGATTTTTCTTATGTTAAATTATTATATATAATACTTTTTCGTAATATGATATGTTTTGGTTAAAAATTTTAAAACTGTCAAAAGATAAAATTGTCAAAAACACAATACATATCGTAATAATAAATGAGATATGTTTTATTCATGTATTGGAGCGTACATATTGAATTAAGAATTAACTTGTAATCAAGAAGACTTGACATATGACGTCGATTAAAGTTTATTAGTCTTGCAACAACAAAAATAAGGTATATCAGGTGCTGGTGCATTCGATAAACAAATTCCTCCATATTTGTAACCTAGAGATGCACAATGTTTATCGCATGCCTTTGCGCTGATACATGGTCCTTCAACGTCACAAGTTTTCTGACCTATTTAGGTCATAAAAATTAGCACATATAACCAATTCAGTATACATTAATTAGCATAAAACTAAAAAGATTGATTTAGAGTATTTCATATTGAAAATATGTTTTTTTGGCTTTTAAAACAATAGAAACCACATAAAAATAAATATTACCTGAGACTGAAACCATGGTCATAAGGCTGAGAGTAAAGACCATCAACAAAAGTAAGAAAAGTGACGAAAACTTTTTAGCTGCCATTAGGTATGTTTCAACAGGTTGCAACAACTTTATATCTTGATATCRTTCAAAAAGACAGATCGTAGAATAAAGTAAAGTTCAAAATCAAAACATGAAGTAATAGAGACATGAGTACGTAAAAACTAGTTTTGTATAGTAATTTTTATTATAGGAGAATGCTCAAAGGTTTATTTTCGCTCTTCGATAAAATAACTTTTAGCATATATATAACATGATTTACCTTTCGTRTTTATAAAGTTTGTTGAATGATCCGATGGTATGATCTTGTATGTGTTG